CTGGCCTCGGAGCTGTGGCACCTCTGGCAGCCCAGCAGCTGTGGGAGTCCAGCACATCTCTCTGCCTGCCCTGGCTCGCTCCAGACCCTGGCAGGGGGCTCGGAGACCTTGGCATGAAGTCAAAAACACCTCTGGCTTTGATTTTAGCCTGTGGAAAAAGCTGTCAATTTTGTATGAGGAATTACAAGCCAGAAGGGTTTGAGTAGTGTGCTAGTTGAATTAACACAGGGTGAAAAAGTAGATTTTTGAGGCTTTTTAGAATGGGGTTCAGGGGGACAAGATGGAGGGATTTGGGCGTTTCCTGGCCTTCTTTTCCGTCTTCTTGTCCTCTGTGTCTTGCTGTGATGGTGGCACTTTTCTGTTGGTTTAAGGTAGAGATGCACTGTCTAACATAAGTGATAGATAAACATAGTACAGGTAGTTTTTGGCATAAAATGTAAACACTGCCCTGAGGGCAGACAGAATGCTATGGATGACTTGCTCGATGGAGCTCAGCAGGTCAGAGAAAGAATGGTATAGATAAGGGAAAATAAACAACCTTGAGAAGCCGACCCTACGCATTCAGACTCCTCCTGGCTGCGTGGGTTGGGAAAAAAGGACTTTTACACTCTCGGGGTCATCCTGATACCCAGACCCCGAGAAGAAGGGATCAGGGAGCCCATCCCTTGGGAGTTCTGCCTTTCTGGCCTTGGGAGAGCTGTGCAGCCTGCAGCACAACCTGCTGGGACACGCTGGAGTGTGAAAAGCTTCGTGAACATCAAGTTAGGGAGAATTATTTAATTCAAGCAGGGGTAACAGGATCTTTAGCACATAGTAATGAGAGGAGGAGTTCATGCAGAAGTGCATTATAGTTCTGAAATTAGTCTGCCAAATAGGACAGCAAAGAATAATAAAACCAAGGCACTTTTTCCCAACCATTCCCCCAGTTTTAGATATTTCCAGCGCAGCTAGTTGGTGATTGTCCCAGCCACCCAAATATATCAGCTCTGTCAGCCATGTGTGCTGGCACAGGGCTGTGCCATGGCAGCTCTGTAGCTGCTGGCTCACAGCTGCCCCATTCATCCTGCTTGGAGCACAGGCAGTGACAATCAGCATCTCTTTGCCCTCAACATTGTAGACATACACTCTGGCTTCATTGTTTTGGATAAATAAAGAGAGGTTTGAGCCTTCCTAAGAAATATTTTGATTCTTAATAGATTTGTCTTTTTACGAAAAACCTAAAACCAACCAAAAAAAAACCCCAAAACAAGCCAAAACCTCAAAACCGATCAAATAATAAACCAAAACAAAAAACACCAACTGCAAACCCCAAGAGAGCAGCAGGAAGATTTCTATGTAACAGCCCATGTGATTGAGTTGTAAGGAATGACAATTCTTACTCTAGCTGATATGGGCTCAGTGGTAAGGAATATTTCATTTCTTTTTCTAAATATTTTAATTTTTAAAATTGTTGTCACCCCAGTGAATGATTGTGAGTGTGGGAAGAAAAGTCTATGCTGAAAGTTTCACCTTTCTCAGTATTGCTCATGGAAACTTCTGGAAAAGTCTTCCAGCAAAACAGGAGAGGTAAATCTTCCTTCCTAATACAGCAGAAAAAAACCACAACTAACCAAAAAAAACTTTTAATTTTTGAAAATAAGAGACTCAATAACATTGTGGGCCATCAGTATGGGCAGAAGAAGTTGATTTTGCACATCACTGGTATCTCAGCAAAAGTCTGTGTACTGAGAATTTGAGTCTTGTGGGAAATCTGAGATTTTAAAATATGGTCAAGGATCTTTTCAATGCCATACACATCTGACGACTCATTAGGATATTTATATATTAATTTTATACTGTTATTAATAAACCACTGTTAATGTACTTGCCGTGATATAAGAATCTAATGTGAATGGTTATACTTTTATCAATTAATTATATTTTTATTAATGACTTAGCATTCTAGGCAGGTCCTGACATCTGCAGACTTCTCATTATATGTGACACTGCTTCCTTCTGCCATGGATTCTCTCACTTATGTTGGGAGCTCTTTGAGTAAACCTGGATATTCTGACCTTTCTGGGACATTTCTCCCTAAACTTAAATTTAAAACTAAATATCTCCAGCACCAGCATTACTAAGCCAAAGTATCCTGTTTGGATGCAGTTCTCTGATTCCTGGGGGAGAGAGAGAGCATGGAATTGGTTGGAGATGTCTTAACGTAGAGATCTCATTGGGGAGCTTTGCTCACTGACGTACTCAGTGGGTAAAATACATTCTCTTCCTCTTAAGCAAATAAAAAAATAAAAAGATAAATAAATAATGTGTAATTTGCTGACACAAGCTATTTGCTTAAATCAGGCAATAGGCCTTGGGGAGATATTTATGACAGGCTGGATTGACTTTAGCAAGCAGCAGCTGGTGCTTTAACACTGCGTGGTGTTGGAATGATCTTCTGCTCAGCAAGGTAGAGAGGCAGAAAATGCAGCTGCATCTTCCTGGAGCTAATTTTAAAAGCAATGAGCTGGTAATTACCACTTTTTCCAGCTGGTCCTTATGAGGGTAAAGGGTTTATTCATAGATGGAAGGTGAAAGAGGGAAATACTGAGCAGTCTGCAAAGCAGCGTTAATAAATGTCCCTCCTGGAGGCATGTAGAAATTTGAACTGATGTTGGCTAGGAGGGGCTGGGAATGAAGAGTGCCTCCTTAGGGGTCTCTGTGAGTCCTGGGGCTCCTCCTTTGTGTAGGAGGTTCCTCAGGAGGGCTCTGTGATGAGGCTTTCCTGATGATTCTGCACCTCGCAGGCTGCTCCAATCCTAAGGGATCTTCCCAGGCCTTGGGGAAGCAAACTGAGCTGAACTGGTTCTGAAAGGTACAACATCAGGGGAATGTTTTCAGTCAGCATCTGATTCCTGCTTGAGTCATACAAATAAGTTATAAGCTCAATTAATGCAACAAATATAAATATTTATGAACCCATTTAGCTAATGTTTGGCTGTATTGATAAATAAGAGCATCCTGCAAGAGCTTCTTTTTGACAAGTAAATAAAGTGTAGAGAGTGTTTGTGTGTTAAATTATCCATGCTTCATTAACTCTTCCAAAATATCAAGTCTTAGGTAATAACTAAATTCAAAGTGACAAAAGAGTAGGATTAGTGGGAATAACTTTAAGTATTAAACGTCAGGAGAGCAAGAAGCTGTTGTTCGCTTTCTTAGTTGGAGAAAAGGGGATAAATGTGTTTGGTTTCGCCATTAATTTCATTTTTTAAAAAACTTTATTGTTATTGTAGTGACAGGAGGGGTAATAGAAGAGAAGAGCAGTCTCATATTAATGTCCTGGTTTTAGGGACAATTTATATTTTCTGACTTTTCTGAGGTGACTAATAGGAAATTGTATTAGAACCAGGTCTACTTAAAGGCTTGATTTTTTTGCAAATCATAACCCAATCTCTGAATTCTTATGAATCTAAGAGTTCTGATGAAGGAGAATTTTGAAAGTTCTGTTACAAACTTATTGTGAACTGTTAAACTAGTGTTTTTAACATGCCCTTTGCATACTTAGTTTAAGATACGATTATTCTCGATTGACTTCGTTGATGTCACATCAAGCAAGTTGGCTGGGTTTGACACCCACATATTAAATGCTAGAAGATTGTTTTGGTTTTCTTAAGAAACAAGGATTTATTATGCATGATGTGGTGAAATGGATTTTAGAACGTGGTGCTGGTAACGCCAAGGTCACTGTTTTGATCCCCATATGGGCCGTTCACTTAAGAGTTGAACTTGATGATCCTTGTCAGTCCCTTCCAGCTCTGGGATTCTGTGAAAATGTGTTTGGCCTAATCTCCTAATTGCTCAAACTGACATAATAAAAATGCAATGAAGAACTGAGTCCCAAGTTTAGCAATTTATATTTGTTTTTATATGTTATTTTTCATTTGTTATGCTCACAACTGATTCCTAAGTTAGATATCCTGAGGGTGAAATCTAGAAGAAGGGTTCCATGATGCAAAACTGAAAAGGCAGCTCCTGGCTCAAGTCCTGCAATTTAAGTGAGGTGAGGAAATCCCTGGTGAGCTTTGTTCTGTGTCAGGAGCCCCTGGGCTCCTGCCTTGCTCTCCCAGGCTGTTGCTCACCTCAGGCAGGCAACAGGCTTCATAAAGGGGGCAGAAAAAAATCTTGCCAAAGCCTTGCCTCACACCTAGTGAGAAGATAACAGAGCTCTAGATTTCCTCAAGAATTACACTGGGCCTGGTTTGACAGGAGCTGAATTTCTTTTCCGGAAATTGGCATATTTAACCTGTGATGTGAGACTCAGCCAAGCCAACCCATCACTCTCTCTATAACCCTGAGCTGAGCTAAGGGAGTCAGATCCAGCCTTGGCTTGCAGTATCAGCTCTTCTCTTTTCATGCATGATTTTAGGTGTGCAGAGTCCCTTCAGTTAATTAAAATATTGACTTAGTCATATGCGGTCACTGAGCCATGGGCAAAACCTTCAAAGTGTGAATTCTGTGGAAGAAGAAAGATATTTTTAAATATTTGTTAATCAAAAATATTTCTCACTTGCTGTCATCTGCTGTATTGAAGTGGCCCTGTGCCTGGTTTTACATTCCCTTCAAAGTCCATCCAATAAATAGTCTTTAAATTCAGCTAGGAAAAAAATTAAATTTTGCCTCTCTTATACCAAGTATATCAGATGAACCTGTGGAAAACACTTTCTGGTGATTTTGCCTGCCAAAAGGGAATGAAAAAACCTTTTTTTGGTGCTCTACAAGAAAGAAACACGTTACTAGAATGGCATTTGGCTAATAGTGCAGCAGATAAAAACCAGGGCAGCAGAGGTGGAAAGGGCAGAAAAGAAAGAGAGAAAATTGTTTCATCTGGGGGTGAAGGTCTTCTGAAATAAGTGATTTCACATTTAAAAGGCCACTAAGGAGATAACTGATGAATGTTAACCTAATTTTATATTGCTTCACTTCATTCTTTTTTCTTTTCTCATTTGTAATGCTTACGTGTTCAGGAAGTTGAGGTAGGTTTTTCAATTTTAACTTGTAAATATCCATAGAGTGAATAAAAATATTTGCAATAGATCATAATTCATTCTATATTTGAAACTCTTATGATCAACTGTTTGATATTGTTATAAATTAAATGCATTGATACATGTTAATTATTGTGTTAATATTGATTAATTAACATGTTAATATGAAAATTGTGTAAGTTTCATTTGTTACAGGAGGCATAAGGAATTTTTAGCACATTAGTATCAACCCTAGTAGAACGCTCTGAAATGCATAGATTTATTTATGTCAGGAAGGCCTTTTACTGAATGGGAAATTTAAATCTCTTTCATCAAGTTGATTGTGTGTGTATATATGTATATAATATGTCCGTATGTGCTGCTTCTCTGTTGGAAGAAGTTACAGTGAAATGATGATACTCCTTCAGAGATGATCAGAGTTCCACCTTCTAACAAAAGTCATTTGAGGATATTGTTATAAATCTCAGCCCCTTCCTGAGTGCTGGCACAAAGCCCTGTCAGCTTCCGAGTCAGAGCTCGAGGTGTGTATTTAAATGTGACACAGATTCTCTGCTCCCCATATCCACAGGGTGAGTTTCACCTTTATGGTGCCATAACCCTTTAGTCTCAGTTCTTGCTGGCATCAATGCTGAAGAGAAGCCCAGGTTCTCTTATTTTGTGATGTTGTGGTTTAATCCAGGTACCACCCAACTCACACCCTCACCCTCCTCATTCCCTGGGTGGCAAAGGGAGGAGAACTGTGGGGAAAAGGTAAACCCTGTGAGTTGTGATAAGAACAGCATTATTATTGCTATTATTAGTATGCCGAAAAGATGGGAGGAATAAACCATAAGACAAGTGCTGCCCAGTACAATTTTCAGCACATGCTGAGCAGTGCCCCCCAGTACTGACCATCTCTCCCCAGCCAACTCAGCCCAGTTTATATTCTGGGCTTTAAGGTGTGCAATATCCCTTTGGCCAGTTTGGGGCACTTGTCCTGGCCATTCTTCCTCCTGGCTTCTCTCTGAAGAAACCTGGGAAACTGAAACGTCTTTGGCTTGGAGTAAACATCCTCAGCAACAATTTAACCACCAGTGTGTTATCAACATTATTCTCATCCCAAATCAGCACTGTACCAACTGCTAAGAGGAAAATTAATTCTATCCCAGCTGAAACCAGGACAGTTGTCCAACTGGCAAAAGTTATTTTGAACTGCTATAGACTGTGTTGCTTGGATGTATGTATAGTCATTTTTTATTCCTAGAAATAATAGTGGGGTTTATATATTGAAAAACTCAAAGGTTTTCTCTATTCCACCTTTTAGGGTTTTTTTTCCCATATTTTTTCTTGTGTGTTTTCTATGTTATCACACTGTGGTTTCAGGCACATTGTAAAATAAACATAATTTCAATTTTCAAAATGGAATACTAAACAGGTCTGCATGAAGGAGAAGAGGAGGAATAATAGATCTACAGAAGATATTGCTGTGTTGTAGGTAGTTTTTTGAGAAAGGTGCATATTTTGTAAAATATTCCTTTGACACTGAAATTGAGATAAACCCCCTTTTCAATTCTTATTTCAAAACCGGTTCCATACACCACCGGCATAAGAAATCCTTGTTGGGAGTTGAATTATTTAAGTTTCTGATGCTGAAAACCCAGCAGCAAAGCAACACCTTGGAAAATATATAAGCTGGCAAAAAAAAAAAGAATATTTTGTTGCTGAAAAAAAATTCTGGTATAAAAACTGAAAACCCAACACATTCTAAAAAGTGATTAATACTTGATGAATTTAGCAGTACATCATCAGTTACAAAGCATTGTATAACCATGAGGGGGTTTTGTATTAGCAAGGCTGTGAAATTCAAAGGCAAGCCTGCAATTCTATTTCTGGTGCCAAACCCTGTACTTGTGAAAAAAAAACCCAAAATTATGGGTAACAGTCTTTGCTGTTATTGTGGAACATTATCACTGTCCATGAAGTCAAGTATGACACTGAGCATGAACATATTGGTTAAAAAAAAATATACATTTTCTTCTGCTAGTCGTGCAGAATGATTTGATGTAACCCAGCATTTTTCCTTGTTTGCTTGCTCCAGAGAACAGCAGCAGAACAATCCTGTCCAGAGTGTCCTGGAAGGAACAAGGAGTGCATCTGCTGGTGCTCGCTGAGGCTGTGGAGTCCTCACTCCTGTAACAGCCTGTTCTGACCCATAAAGTCATGCTGACTTCCAAATCGCCAAAATATTCCAGGTTAGGGTGAACTGGATAGCATGAGAATGTGTGAAATTCAGTACTGGAGATAAATGGTAAATGAAACCCTATGGAAGAAATAATTTAGATGTCTTATTCACACAGATGGGTTTTTAGTTACCATCCTGGCAGGAAAAAGAAATCTCTGTGTCATTCTGGACAGCTTGATGAATACATCTCTTTAGTGGCATCCCTCAGGAAATGAATATAGAATACTGGATATATTAAAAAGGAAACAAAGATTAATATGCAGAAAAATATGACAAAAAATATGAGTGTTGTCGAAATTTTCTATGCTTCCCCACCTCACATAGATAATTCTGTTGTTATCACGTCCTCTCAAGGAGGACAGAAGTGAGATACACAGAGTATGCTGAAACTGATATATCACTGGGCTTCACACCCAGTTCTTCAGCACTAGGGTTGATGGCACTCTGAAGCAGGGAAAACTTTGCCTTCAGATAAATATTTGCTAAGTACACAGAATACAGATTGATCCAACACATGCAGGAGTTTTCCATTCTTTAAGGAGAGAGACTAGTTTGCAACAATGATTATTTGGCCAGATACTCTGACAATCCCTGCTTTCTCCAGTGTAAAATCCATTGAGAATTGTGTAGAACAGAACCACAACATTTGCAGCACAATCATCTCTTTACATCAGATTTCATAAAATTCTTAAAGTTTAATGGTGGGAACAGTGACAAAAGTATTCACTGCAAGTGCTCCTGGAAGTTGTTGTACTATTTAAGTGAAATGTTTGCAATATTACTCCTGTATTTCTGTATGTTCACAGTTGTGTGATTTGCATGTGTCCAAATGGATGTATCTTTGAATTTACTTTGCTGACCTTCCACCACACCAGGATGGTGTGGATCATGTTATACTACCTGAACAATATGCTCTTTCTTGTCAAAACTGTAGACTAACACAAAATCATGTGTAATATTTTTATTATAAAATATTTCATAATGAGCATGCTTTCCAAAACAATCCAGAAGAAAAATTTAAGGTGCTGAATCCAAGGACATTTTTATTCTTTAATTTCTAATCTGCATTTGCTACTCTTTAGGACACAACCTGTTGATAGTCTTATCTTATTGGAGCTAAATCTATTAGAATCAAAACACAAATTGATTCATTTATTTGTGTAAAATGGTACTGAAAATACAGATTGTATTTTTCCTGAAGATTGTTTTTTTTTCGTCCCCATTTAGGATGATTATTTCAGAAACTGGAATCCAAACAAGCCATTTGATCAAGGTAAGCTTAGTAAATATTTTGTGGTTGTCTCCTGCTATTTTGTGATTGCCCCATATGCTTTATGCCTCCCTTCCTCTGTCTGTCCCGTGCATTAGTGGAGAGGTATATTCATACTTACATCTCCTTCCCAATTTAGTCACAGCTTGAGGTGGTTTATGTAGAAAAGTTTGACTCATCTCGGTATTTTTTCAGCATGTTTTTTTAATCCCCATCCATTCCACTTGCTATTCAATGATGAAATGTGTGCTCAGAGAGATTCTCTGTAACCATGAATCTTGGTTTAACGTGTAGTTTAAAACGGGGATCTTCACATTCATTTTCTTTCATGTTAAAGGCTTTGCTAAATTAATGCTGTAAATGTAACCACTGCATTTTCTAACACTCAAGGAGCCAGTTCTTTGAAATCAGCTGTAATGCATGAATTTCAGGGCTGATTTTAAAGGGAAAATGGTGTTTTGTATGTGCTGCTCTTTCAGATGCAGGCTCTGTAAATGATGTTTTGCACTTTGTCTTGGTGAGTGATTAAGTTGTGGCAGTACTTCAAATATTTCCAGGCCAGCCACTAAGGGGTAGGAAAAATACTCCAAAAACCCCATTCTAATTGTGTTCAGGAAAGCACCGGATACAGCCATACCAGGAAAAAGAAATTCAAAATTACTCAAGTGTTTAGGAAGAAAATACTTACTGGAAGTCTCTGAAAGTGCTTTTGAAAACTTCACTTTACGTCTATTTCTATATTTCATTGCCAAGCATGTTCCTTGTATTGTCTGTAGCTCACAGGAATATCACTGGGGTTAGAGCTTAGGAGTGTAGATTCTCTGTCTTTAGGGAAATGGAACTTCAGTGTCAAAGGAAAGGCAAAGTTGATGCTTTTGTCAAGACACATGTCCACAGAGGTTTTCAAAGGCATTCGAGGGATTTAGGATTACAAATCCTATTGACTTCAAACAGAACTTATGTTCCTGCTGCTTTCGGAGGCCTTGTGACCCTCTGTTTTCCCAAGAGAAAAAACAAAAAGGTAAATCCTGGCAAAGTATTGCAGTGAGATTTTGAACAGACATGATTTAAAACTGTCCTGTTTATTGTGTTACTGAGATGTCTGACTCTGGGCAAAAGCAGGAATGCTTGTAGAGAATCTAAAGCCACACATGGATACCTTGAAGAGATATGTCGAATGTCTGCTAAGATTTCTGCCTCTTTGTAAAGAAAAGGATCATTTCTTTACCAGGGCAGAGTTTCTCTGACACTGTGGATGTCTCTGCTCAGGAAACAGAATGCAGACTGCGGGGTGCAGTCTGGCCAGGGTGCTCTGCCTTACACAAAGAACTGTGCTCTGCTTTCTTCTCACTTAAAATGGATTTTTTGGCCAATAGATCATTCTTTATGACAGAGGTTACTACTCTTGGTTGTGGCAAAATTCACCCTGACTATAACATTAAAAATAGCCACTCAAACATTTCTTAAGAGATTTACTGCACAAAAAAAAAAAAAAAAACCAAAACCAAAAAACCCCGAAAAAAAAAAAAAAAAACCCCAAAAAAAACCAAACAAACAAAAAACCCAAAAACTGTTTGAAAACTGTTGATCGGTTTAGTTGCATATACACAGAGCATGTGAGTCTTTAGTCATTGATCCCAGTGTTGTCACCCAAAAAATGAAGAGAAATCATATGTTGCTGCTTTGGGCCCTATGAGTCAGGTGCTGACAAGACTAATCCTCAGTTTATATATGCATATAGGTATGTATATGTGTATAAATATATGCATGATATATTTATGTGTATATAGAGGGAGTTGCATTAAAATAGAAACTGCTGAGATGAAGGAAGGAAGGGAAGCTTTATCTTTCCCAGATGTTCCCACCAAAGCTTTAATTTCTGTAATTTTCCACAGAGAGGAAAAAGAACAGTGAGAAGAATTTGTCCCAGCTCTTTTATGCAGCATTAGCTGCAAGACAATTGTTTAATCTGTTTTTCCTTTTCCATTCTCCCTGCCCTGGTATTTTTCCCAGTTGTTCTGTTTCTTTTTGGGGAGTTTAAATGCCCCTTATGCTCTTGTATGGTTTTGAAGATAGAAAAGCTTTCATTTTATATTTTTGGGATTCTGATACTACCAGAGAGCTTGTGCAGATCCTGTGGTGAGGAGCCCTAGGTTGCTCCTATGAATTCAGTAGCAGGTCTGTGTTCTCACCACACAATTGTTATTTTGAGAGATATCTCAAAGGCTTCTTTTAACCTCACAAGACCAAGATTCTTCCTACTTACTGAAGAGAAAAAAACTTCTCCAGTGGGTGAATGAAAACAGGTTTGGGATTTTGTAGAAGATCTAAGTCTGGTGTCACGAAGCTAAAGCTCTTTTTGCAAACACTAACTTTTTTGGGACAAGTTTACAAGTTTTTAATATTAAAAATCTACTTCTCAATTCTAAATCTAAAATCCTGCTTGAATATTGTAATTGTGAAGTCTGGCTGAAAAAGCTGGGAGGGCAGGTTTGGAAGTAACTGAAGGCAGGAATTACCTTCCAGAGGGATCTCAAAAAGTAGCTGGAGGATTCCGTGTGTTTAACAGATTTAAAACCCAACAGTAATCAGAGGTTTTGAAAATCAGCAGAGTTCTGCTTCCAGGCTTGTACTTCATTTGCATCTCTTAAAGAAGTCTGATGCATCCAACCAACTCTGTATTCTTTTTGAACAAAAATCTGGCTCAGCAGATGAATTATTTAATTATGCATTGAAAAACAATAACAGTGTAATCAAGCTGTCTGCTTTCTGCTTGCAGTGTGGAGAGAAATACCTGAGTGTTTGTCTCAAGAAAAGAAATACCTTGTTTTGTAAAAAAGCATTCATGGCTTTCACTGAAACCTCTAGGGAGTGACATGAGGCATGTTTGGATAGCAGGCCTGTTCAAGGGAAGTCAACTTGAGTGATCAGAATGGTTTTTTTTCAGCTGAGCTACCAGCCCAGCTTTCTAGTCATCTTTAACCCAGGAGAAACCAATACAAAAGTGAGAATCTTACTGACAACTGAGCTAACAAGGCACTTTGACTGCAGAAGGCAGCAGAGTTTGTAGCCTGGAAGTGATTGCTGGTCATTAATATTGAACTTGATTCTGTCACAGTTACAGAAGCAATAAAGCAGAAGAGCAGAAGGGGCAGGTTAGTCAGGATTTTGAAATATGAATCAAAGAGTTGGGTTTTTTTTTTCCTGACAAGGTCATTTGAGAGTTCTTAAGGAGCTCGACAGCTAACCTGGCATACTTTCCTAGTCTTCTTCATCCACTTTGGAGAAAGAAAAGAGGGAATAGGGGAAAACTTTCGCATAGCTCAAGTGAGAGATTTTGATATGTGTCTCATATTCAGCACCTATTCAGACTTGCCAGAAAATGAACTCATTAAGACTTTATGGATTCTGTTAATTGAAAACTATTAAATAAAAAAATAATTCTAAGTTACTGAAAATTTCTGCTAGAAGCCACCCCTAAATTGCTGGAAGCAGTTTGGAATGGTGTCCAATTTGCCATATGACTTTTTAAAAGCATCTTTGCCCAGAACATAGAAACTGTGGAAGTAGTGGGGTGCACTTTGTATTGCAGATGCATGAGCTCTGAATCAAAACACCTTTAAAACATCAACCTGCCATTATTATTAACAACACATCTGCAGAAGGATGCAATAACAGGGGTAAAAACGTGATTCTGTGGTAGTGCTGAATTTTTCCCCAAATGTGTGTTTAAAACCTTCCACTGAACTATAGAATTTTCTGTTCAAGGAGGTGCAAGTTCCCCCCTTTCCATTTGGATTGTGACAGTGTCAGATGATTGCAGTGGATGGAGCTGGCCTGAGTCCCCTCCCTCAGCTCTGCCTTCAGCACTGAGGCACAAGGACTGGCTAGGAACAGGGCACAATTTTACCCATTGCTGGTGGAAGCAATACCAAATGTTTCAAGCTTCAGGGAAAAAAAACCTCCTGATTAGAAATAGTCTGGCTTTCCCCCCTTCTCTTCCAGCCTTTGTTTTTCTTTTCACCCTCTTCCCCAGTAACTGAGAAATCTGGACAGGGATGCTCCTTCTCAGGGCTTTCATTATCTGCCCTTGGAGAGGAGGGAATACAAAAAATTTTTAAAAATTCAAACTCCTTATTCCACTGTATTATGTGAAAATCTTTATCTGCTTGAAATGGACTTATCAATGACTGACTCTAATGTCAGACACACTCATTTAGACTTGACCATCATTATTAATTACAGACATGTTCTCATTTCAAAGGGCTCCCCTTGAGCACTAATGAAAGGCTGAACTAGCAAAATACTCTCACTTTTGAAGAGGAAACATTGCTTTTGAGTGGATTGAGGCCTCCAGTGCAGCATAGCCTGTGACTTTCACAGCCCAGCAGCCCTGTGAAGTGAATTTGCCAAATTTAGAGCATTACATTTCAAGATGAATGTGTTGGTATCAGTGCTCCCTCTCCTTGTGCATCACATCCAGCCTGTGTCTTTCCAGTGTTTAAATCACAAATCCAGACTCCAGAAATGGGCTTCTGCAGCTGTACAGAAAAAAAAGTTTGCCTAAAATTCATAAGCCTTCCAAAACAAAAGGAGTGAAAAAGGGAAGCCTATGATGCAGGATGGAAATCATAGAACCTGCAATTATTTTTGAACATGTAATTTTCTGTTAGCCCAGTTAAGATGTTCTTTAGAAAAGCCTGAATAAATTCCTTACAAAGAGATGTTTAGTACTGAACACATTTCTAGCCACAAATATATGTTAGTTTTATAATAAATGTTTTCTATTACAGTGCCTCAGATGGCAGATTTCAATTGAATAACTTATTTTGCAATTTATTTTTTGACTGTGCTTGAATTAGTTTTAGAGGCTTATTCATAGTGCAAGTGCACATGAATTATGTTTGCAAATCTTCAGTAAATCAGTCCAGTTTTAGAACACGTTAACTGAATCAACCAGAAACAATAGCTGAGATGCAGCACATGAAATATACTGTCTGCCA